ACGAGCGCGCATGGGCAGCAGTGTGTGTGTGTGTGCCGGTCTGTGCTGCTCATGTGTGTGTGTCTGTGTGCACCTCGCGGCTGACCAGGGGGATGAGCTTGTTTTGCAGGAAGACGCCAGACAGACAGACAGACAGACAGACAGACAGACAGACAGACAGACAGACAGACAGACACACAGACACACACGCACACGCACACAGACACAGACAGACAGACAGACACACACACACATACACACACACACACACGCACACACGCACGTATTGATCGCTCACCTACCTGTCCGTTGGCATGTTTCCGCGTGCGTAGGGCGAGGCTGGGTACTTCCGCATCACGACCAAGGCTGGGGAGAACCTTGGCATTGCGTCGCAGGGCAGCTGGGCGGTCCCGTCCTTCCACAAGCAGAGCGCCCCGCAGGCCAACACCATTCTTGCCGAGGAGATCATGCGCGAGCTCGGCGCTGCTCCCGCCCGCTCCGCACGCAAGCAGATGCCCACCATGGTCAGGCGCTATGCATGTGTGTGTGTGTGACTGGTTTTGTAATTGTTGCTTCTTGTGCGCGTGTTCGTGCGTTGTGATGATTGTCTTCGATGCTTCCCTTCGCGGTGACTCACATCCAATCCACCTTGTGCCCCTCTTCCTCCACCTCCCTGCGTTCGTGCGCCCGACATTGTCCAACCCCCCCCCCCCTCTATCTCCAGCCTGCCGACGGCCAGCTGTTCACGACCAACCCGGACATCAAGAAGGGCGCGTACTTCCGCTACAACAAGCCTGCCGTGCGCAAGGGTACCCCCACCTCCCACGTTGTCTCTCCAATGCCACACACCTACCTCAGGTCAGTCAATCAGTGAATCAGTCAGTCGCGCTGCTGTAAGCCGTACCGTGCGCCTGCTCTTGGTGTGTGTGATGTGTGTACGCGTGTTCTGTGTGTTCTGTGTGTTCTGTGTGTTCTGTGTGTTCTGTGTGTTCTGTGTGTTTGTCTCACTGTCACTCTGATTTCGTTGCCACTATCGTTCACTCACGAGCAAAACATCACCACCATCACCGCCACCACCACCACCACCATCACCACCACCATTTCTATCGTTGCCTCAGGCCATCTGATGTTCCGCAGACGTACGACCCGCGCAACATCAACGGCGTGGACTACACCACCGTCAACCGCAACCAGCACATTCCACAGTACTGCGGCAGGTGCGTCACACGCGTCACATGTGCACATATGGTGCCTGTGTGTGTTGTGTGTGTTGTGTGTTGTGTATGTTGTTGTTTTGTGTCGGGTTGTTCCATTCCAGCTACCTGTTGTGCGACACTGTGCCGACACTTATCCACGTACCTCGCCATCACCCCTTCTGTCCAAAACGACCATCGCAACGAGCAGCTGCTGGGCGCACGGCACTACCAGCGCTCTTGCAGACCGCATCAAGCTTGCTCGTAACCGCACCTTCCCAGACATTCAGCCATCCGTCCAGGTGCGTGTGCATTGTGTGTGTGTGCATTGTGTGTGTTGCAGTTGTGACAACTATTCCCTTGTGTTCGTTCGGTTCCGTTCCTGCGCACACACGCTATGCTTCGTCGCTGTGCTGTCTCGCCTTCCAACCCGTCTCATCTCCCCAACTGATCACTCCCCACCACCACTACTCCCACCACCGCCAGGTTCTTGTTGACTGCGTGACGCTGAACAACACGCACGGGTGCGAGGGCGGCGACCCCACGGCGGCGTACTCGTACATCCTGCAGAACGGCATCCCCGACGAGACGTGCACCAACTACCTCGCCAAGGACCAGACATGCACCCCCATCAACACCTGCCGCACCTGCAGCCCCGACAGCTGCTCCGCGGTTGCCAGCCCACCTCTCGTGCACATCAAGGAGCACGGCCAGATTTCCGGCGCCGAGAACATGCGCGCTGAGATCTTCGCCCGCGGCCCCATCGCATGTGCGTACTGCTGCTGCTGCTGTTGTTGTTGTATGAACTTGATTTGAGTGAGCGTGAATGTGACCGTGGTGGTCGCGTTGGATATGGGCGTGTGTGTGTGCTTGTGTGTGTGCTTGTGGTGTGTGCGCTTGTGTGTATGTGTGTGTGTGTGTGAATGTGGATTTGGTTGTGTGCGACGTAGCCTGCGTGTGTGCATCACATCACAATCCGAGTATCGTCGTCGTGCTGGCACGTGCCGGTGCAGTGTCTTCATCCTCCTCACACCTCCGTCCACCATGATTTGCTTGACTGACACCACAGGCACTGTTGCCGTGACCCCTGCCTTTGAGGCGTACTCTGGTGGCATCTTCAACGACACCACAGGCGCCCACGTACGTGGCTAGTTGTTGCTGCAGCTGCTGTTGCCATGCTGTGTTTTAGCCCGCCTGTCACTTGCTCGTCAGCTTACACGTTTCACCTCGTCCTCCCTCTTGTTCGTGCCATGGTGTGTGGCCTCTGCTGCTGCTGTTGTGCTTGTGGCCTTGTCTGTTTGGTTTCCCAGTCGCTCGACCACGAGATTGAGGTTGTTGGCTTTGGTGTGGACGAGCAGACGGACACCCCCTACTGGATTGGCCGCAACAGCTGGGGGTGAGCCATTGCAGCGAGAGCACATGCGGCGGGATAGCGTGGGAGAGGTGGAGAGGGATGCGAACGATTGTTGGGAGATGAGGGAGTGGTTGGGGACGGTGGTGATGTGGTGTGGGAACGTGAGTGGCGTTGCTGACTTGTTTGAGCAATTTTTGTTTCGTTGTCGACAAACACTCGTGCGCACTGTCCATCCATGTCACTCACACACGATGTTGTCGCTGGTGGTGGCTGTTGCAGAACGTACTGGGGAGAGACCGGCTGGTTCAGGATTGTGCGCGGCGTGAACAACCTCGGCATTGAGGCCAACTGCGACTGGGCCGTGTGGGATGGCGTGCTCCCCGCTTACCATCTCCCAAGCCAGCAGTGATGTCATCCCACATTGGTGATGGTGTTTCACAGCTCCGCTGCCGCTGTTTGTTTGTCGTGTGTGTCCTGTGTGTTTTGCTGTTCTTTTCTCTTCATCCCTCCTTCCTGTTGGGTGGCCACAATGTACTGCGACATTGCACGTCGTTGCTGTCATTGGTCGGCTGATGCTGGTGTGACCGTCATCCGCTTGTGTGGCACTGCCAATTAATGTAAACGTGTTTGTTCGTGTTTTCAACAAAGAACGTGCCAAAGCTACGACGAACGAGGTGTCCTGCATCACGTGCACCTCCTACCCAGCCACCAGGCCGACATCTCCAGAGGACGGGACAAGCAGCCCCGCCGCAGATACGCCTCAGCAGGACGCCGCACCGTGCGCACTCGCCGGCATCATACTGCCGAGCCCAGCCGAACTGCACAGCCCCACATCGATACCACGAGCCCCCCCCCCCCCGCTCCCCAGGACCAGCAGGTGCGAACCGCCACCCCGTTCCCATCCCTGTCGCGTGACGCTTCCTCCCCCGCCGCTTCTCCTACCACCCCCTCCCCCTGGCCACTCCAGCCAGAGGGCCCAGCCTCTGCCGCAGTGCCTCCCTCGCCGCCAGCCCCCGTGAGCCCACCGCCATCGCCCTCTCAAGCAGGCACTCCCATCCTCTTCGAGGGGCCTCCCCATCACGATGCCTCCCCCGACCTGCCCGCGCAAGCCGCGGCCACCACCACCACCGCCGGCATCCACGACGACCCCGACACGCAACTGCACGACGTGTTCGCAGTCCACGAGTGCTGCCGGACGCCAGGCTGCTGGGTCAGCACCCACCAGCCCGTCTTACTCACGCCAGAGCAACTCGCGCCACGCCAGCCACCCCCGCGCTTCCCCTGCCCCTTCGAGCGGTGCCGCAAGCACCAACACTCGGCAGGCGCCGAAGACACGCGCCGAAGACACGCGCCGAAGACACGCGCCGAAGACACGCGCCTCGACTTTACCAAGCTGGCTCAGCACTTCCGTTCCCAACATGCAGACGACCTGTCCCCAGGTCTCGCGGAAGCATTCGGACTCACATACTGCACCAGCTGCACGGGGCACATCTTCTCGCCGCGCCACAGATGCAGCAATCGGGCACACGCCCCCGAGGCCGGGGCTGATGCCGATGCCCATGACCTCCCCATCCTCCAGCCCTCCGACGGCTAGTGGACTCGAGATCTGAAGGGCATCGAAGCGGACCTCGTCGAGCGCGTGCGAAACAAGGACGACAGCGACATCTTCCACTGCTACCGCACCGCCCAGAAGATCCCTAACCATCCCCTCGCGTATCGGGCCTTGCGGATCGCATCCAACATGATCGTAGAAGCTGAAAGCGACCCCAACAAGCGGAAGCGGCACAACGACTACGTCCTGGGTGCCTTCCACCTACTGCAGCTCATTTTCGCCAGGGACAAGGCACACTACATCCGGAACAACACACTACACGCCCGGGATGTGCCTCCTCGCGTCGCGCAACTGGGACCGCCTGGAGGCACGAGCCACGATCCGGATGCGGCCGCCGCGCACCGACGAGGAAGGACGCGCCGGCAAGGCCCGCCAACACCTCGCAGCGGGAAACATCTCCAACGCATACCGCACCCTCGCAGATGACTCCACGCAACTGGACAGGGCCGCTTACCACCGCCTGCTGGACGAGGGGCGGGCGGCCATTGAGGAGGCCCACTCACGGGACCGCCGCGCCAATCCCCCGCAGAAGGTCGTGCTGAGCAGGAGCATGCAGAAGCTGCGCTGGTTTGCGCTGCCCACAGACTACATGGCTGCACCACCGCCATCAGTAACGGAGGTTACAGCACAGCAGCAGCAGCAGCAGCAGCAGCAGCAGCAGCAGCAGCAGCAGCAGCAGCAGCAGCAGCACGCGTTCACAGGAGGGCATGGTGGAGTGGGGCGACCTGCCTCAGTGGTCGCTCGACCAAGGTGGCGGCGTTGGCAGATATGATGCTGACAACAGCAGCGACGAGAATGGCAGCCCTGTGCTCTTGCAGGCGTGGGCGAGTGGTGATGACGACGACGGCGACGGCGTCGGTGGCAATGGCGGTGATGGTGTTGCAAGCAGCACCATCTCATCGTAAGTGAACATGCACTCGGCTGTGTGATTGTGTGATTCTATAGTTCAATATTGTGCGTGTGCGTGTGTGTGTGTGATTGCGTTTGTGGTGTGTGTGTGCGTATGTGTGTCATTGCGTTTGTAGTGTGTGTGTGTGTGATTGACGTGCATATGTGTGTGCAGTTGCCGATGTAATGACTTGCTTAGATGAACGCTCATGGGTGTGCTGTGTGATGGTGTGGGGCACTGTGTTTCTCTTGCTTGCAGTGACGAGGAGGCCGAGTTGAACGGACCCGTCTGCTACAACTGCAACGGCCAGCCCATCGCCGAGGAAGTGGAGGAGGTGAGCATGAGTGCTTGTGGGCGTGTGTGTGTGCTTGTGTGCGTGTGTGTGTGTGTGTGTGTGCATGCTTGTGGGCGTGTGTGTCAGTGTGCATGCTTGTGTATTGTGTGCTTGTGTGTTGCGTGCTTGTGTGTTGTGTGCTGCCGTTGTACATGTACCTCGCAGCCTTGCAGCTATACCCCTTCACTCAGAGCGCCAATCGCGCATGTAACATCACGCCCACACTCAACCACTCACTCCCTCACTCCAATACGCTGCGGCACCTGTTCTCCTCCGTTGCATGCGCGCAGGCAGAGCGGCGTCGACGTCGCGCGAAAGCCCAGCGCGTGCTTGACGGGTTTGTCAAGGCAGGCGACCTGGCTGTCCAGGGAAGTGGCGTGGACCCGTCTCTTGCAGGCCTGATCCTCGGCGTGTGCATCTGCTTCACCTTTGGGCGCCAGTGGTGCAGTGGCCTCTTCTCCTGATGGGGGCGGCAGCCGCGGTGGACGGCGTGACGAAGATGGCATGGTGGCACGATGTGCTCATGATTTGGTGATGGTGCCATATATTGCTTGCTCGAGTGGTAATTGATGGCTGATTGCTTGCTTGGTGGCTTGATTTGATGGCTTGGTTGCTTCATGTGTATGAGTGAGTGGATGATGACCGTCTTCTTTTTCGTTTCACCGATCTTAAGTGTGCTTCGTGAGCCCGCCGTTTTGCTTCCTTCATTTGCTTGTCCGTGCCCGTCTTGAGAACCGACATAAACAAGCAATAAGACAATAACAAACCGCACACACGCGGCAAACGCGACCACACACGCCTCCCCCCACTCCGCATCTGTGACATGAGTTCACACCACTCGTGCAAGTCCACTACAAGTCGCCCATTCCAAACATCTAACCCCCTTTCGGCACCAATGTGTCTTTCATCTCCAAACACACTGCACAGGATCCAGACTTTTCGATCAAGGAAGTTATGGCGCGTCACGTCATGTCATGTCATATGTCACGCCACTCTTTTATGCACGGGATAGACGCATACCATATTTAGCTTCATGGAAGTCACACCATCATAGCACGCACAACAAGTATCACAAGGAGGCCTGGCCCACCACAACAAGCAAATTAGCAAAAGCAACAGCAGACAAAACACCAGACACAGCAATTTCACCACCTCAACCACCACCTCAACCACCACTACCGTCATCATCATCCCCTGTCACCGCCACCACCATCAAAGAAGGCAAGAGTGGCTGCACCAACACAGGTCAAAGGATGGTAGCGTTCTGCATTCCTTCGATGAGCTTGTTGAGGATCTTCAGCTTCTTCTTCACGCCCACCTCACGGCCTTCCTGCTCCCCCTCCTGCTCCTCCTGCTCCTCCTCCTCCTCCTCCTCATCATCATGTCCGTGGTCACCGTCATCAGCGTTCCCACTGCCCTCATGCGCCATGTCACGCTTCTTCTGCTGCAGCCACTCAACAAGTCGCCGGCACGCATCCTCAAACCGATCACACGTGCTCAGGACATCAAATCTCTCGCCAAAGTCGGGGCGAGCCCATGCCATGGCCAGTGAGTAAAAGTCGTGGATGCTTTTGAACGGCAGCCGGTCCCTGCCCGAGCGACAAAACAAGTCAGGATGCCGTTCCAGCAGACAACAGTTGAAGCCGTCCGGCGTGTACTCACCAAAATCCTCAAGGTCAATGAGGAACGCGACTTCAGCGTTCCTCACTGCTATATTCTCCTTCCTGACATCGGCGTGGGGAAGTGAGTGGAAACACAACCGCAGGAGCTGCTCTGCCACACACAACAGCTGCTCTGGCGTGGTGAACTTGCCGCTGCCGAGGAAGGGCATGACGATGGTGTTGCTGTTGATGACGCGAATCGGGTGACGTGGGTGCAGGATGCGCCACATGTGAAGAATATGGTCGATGTTGTGGTCGTCAGGCACACGCTTCACCACAGTGTCGTCAATAATCGTCACATCTGCCGCTAGTTCTTCAAACTCGAAGAACACGCGCATGTTGGCCAAGACGACCTCGTCTTTCTGCTGCTGATGGTGCTGTGGCTGCTGCTGCTGCTGGTGCTGCTGGTGCTGCTGGTGCTGCTGGTGCTGTGGCTGCTGTGGTTCCTCGGGGCAATCGCCGCTCAAGCGAATGCGCTCAACAAGAGCAGGTGGGATATCGCACTGGGGAGATGGCAGCGGTGGCGGAGAGGTGGTGGCAGGGGCTCCAAAGCATCTGGCGTAGAGCGAGTCGTAGTAGGCCAGCAGGGGCTCAGACAAGAGCACATCCAGCACACGGGAGAACTTGGACAGCTGACACCGCAACAAAGCAGGAAGCACGAGAGCAGGCGTGTGGAGATATGCGACACATGAGCGTGTGTGAGAGCATGTGGCCGCCACAAACAGAGCAAAGGGACACCACAGCGCACGAGGAGAGCAGCACGTCAGGGGCAAGAGGAGCAAGCCATCACAACAAGAGGAAAACAACAACAACAACAACATATGCTAGCAGAGGTGCACCGTGGTGGATGTTAGGGTGATGGTGTTGATGACTGGCATCTTCTGGCCACCAGCGAACGTCTTGTGTCCAAGGACGAAACCATACACGTCAACACAGTTCCCGGCCACAGCGATGCCAATGGGGTACATCAGCCCCTTGATCACAGACTCCCAGCGGGGAACGCACTTGATTGCGTGCAATGCGTATTCACGCAATTGCTCCTTTGCTGCCGCTCGCTGTGCACGCTGCTGCTCGAACTGTAACATGCACACAAGGTGGACACAGCAGT